ATGGATTCACATTGCAATTAATGATGTTTCCAATCTGTTCCCTTTTTTTTTCTTTTGTTGATAGTGGACTGAACAGGGTTCAGCAACCTCATTGTAACAGAAAAGCATTTAATAGAAATATATATATAAATATATTACTCTTTTTAGGCTGTTCTTTAAATGTGTTCTTCAGTGGCAATCCCTCTGATGGGAATATTGTGTCCAGCTTTGGGTACTGCACTTGAAGAAAAGTGGACTTTTTTGAGGATATTCATATGAAAAACTTAAAAGGAAAAACTGTAGTGAAAATGCACAGCTGGGAGAAAATGTACCATAAAACCTGTGAAAATCTGATACAGATTTACAAGAGAGGGAATAAAATCTCCATCTCTATTTGTTTTTTTTCCAAGGCATTCACAGCATTTAGGGTGACTGCTTAGGGCAGTCTTCCCCATTGTGCTGTTGCCATTTTTCCTTTGAGTATTTTCTAACTCACTTCAGGCCAAAGTTCAACTCTTTATTAAAAAAAACCCTGAACTTTTCAATAGGAAACACTTGCATCATATACCTGAAAAGTAACAGTGTTTGTGCTCAAAAATAAGAGGTAAGAAAAAATAATCAACATAGTAATTCCTAAACAAATAACAGCAGCAATTCTGCTTTCTCCAAAGGTGAATAAATTGCAGTTAGAGATGGAAAATATGAACAAGCAACATAAGGAAGAAGTTGACATCTATCAAAAAGACATAGAAACAAGAAAAGTAAATGAAAATAAACTTCGTGAAGAGGTGAGAGGTGTTCATTTTTACTGCAATTTACTTTTTTTTGGTTTAAAATGTTGTTCTGAAGCTTTAATATCCAGAGTCCTTGCTCATATTTCAGTCTTATCAACATAAATGGAACTTGTTTTGTATGCCTGTGAGCAAAGCTTTAGTACATTAGGTGCTTAGGTTGAAATATTTGAATATGCCTTTGACAATGAGAACTCCATTAAAAATTCCTTCCTTCAAGATATAGTTCAAAGAAATTCCACCCTTGGTATAAAGTCAGCCCAGTTAAATTAGATTATAACTTCTCCCATATTAGGATTTTTCCGCCCACACTTTTTTTATGGCAATGCTAAGAAATGTTAGGGCAGAGTGCTTGAAATGGCCTTTTGGTTTGCAGTGAGCTTGCCTGCCTTGGCTGTACCTTTGATCTTGCCCATTTTAACAATCTGCAGAAAAGATGAGGGATTTGAAAGGAATCTTAAAAGCAAATAAAGCCCAAGTGGGACTGCAAACTTTGCACCCACAGGGAGAAGAAGAAATTGAGATTTAAAAGAAATATATTGTTATGTTGATGAATGAAATGCAATTTATTACTGACAGGTAGAAAAGATGAGGTTGCTTTGTGATGAAACTGCAATGATACAGAGAGAAACTGATGCCAGATGTCAGCACAAGATAACTGAGATGATGGCACTGATGGAAAAGCACAAGATCAGAGATTTTCCTGCTTGCTGTGATTTGCAATGGGTGATACCATGTCAATACCATGTTTATAACTTGTGACACCACGTTAATGACCTTTCCAAAGCAGAAACAGGCCTGAGTCTGGGAAAAGGAAGATGAACACATGCTGGACTTTGCATCATCTAAAATCAAATTCATTTGAAGAATATGAACACATTCCTATGGGCAGATACATTCCATTCATCTAAACCTCTGGGATTTTTAGATTTTTTTTTCAATTCAGGCTTCCTTTGATACCATCTGAATGCAATATTTTTCAGTATCAGTTTGGCCTCTTTCTCAGAGGTTACCTAGTGACTGTCAGCAGTTTAGCCTGACACATTTTAGTTTACCTTTCTATTCCTCATTTTGCAATATCTTTAGCAGCTACATTAATAAAGATGGCACAGCTGGCTCTTAGTGCTGAGCACATATTGCTGCACAGAAATAAAGCACTCTCTGCCAGTCCACAAAATAATACTTGAATTGAGCATTTCCTGTTTTACAGTTTCTGCAGAAGCATCAATGAATCTTTTCTTTATGAATCTTAAGAGCCTGGTTTGAAAAAATGATGTTTTAAGACTGGATAACTCTATATTGCAACATTTAGTCACATGTTTTGAGTTTGTTGTTGGTTTGGTTTTTTTACCACAGAATGAATATGATAAAATGGTTGAAGAAAAAGATGCAGAGTTAAAAGTATATAAAATGAAACAGCAAAAGCAGTTCTCATCAGAAAGGGCACTGGTAAGGAGCACTTTGCAATGGTCAATAATTCAGTGAAGGGGCTGATGTCCTTGTGTAGTGGTTTTATACTGGCTAAGTGCCAGGCACACACAAAAAAACATTCACTCATTTTTCTCTGCTATTGTTGAGCAGAGGAGGGGAAAGAAAAATTCAAGGACTGAGTTGAGATAAAGATTAGGAGAAAAACACTTTGAGGGTAAAGCAGATTCAAACTTAAATAGTGTAAAAAAATTATTATTAATAGAATTAAAAGTGAGTAATGATAATTAAACGAAACCCTTAAAACACCTTTTTTCCCAATCCCTCCCTCTTGCCCACCGACAGCACAGAAAGACAAAAGATGTGATCTTCGGTCAGTTTGTGACTTCTAAAGATCTTTTTTCAATTTGCTTAGAGAGTTTCTTTTCCTGCTGTGCTCTGGGGTCTTTCCCACCAGAGACATTCTCTGGGAACTCTTCCAGTGTGCTTTTAATTTTTACCCGCAGCAGTCCCACCCAACCTGCTGCAACAGATCTTATTCTGGGCGCTAAAAACTCCAAATGTTTCTAAAAATAAATTGGAGTGGCAGTGTGTTTGTGTCTGCTCCTCCAGGTAGTGGGTCATGTTCTGACTCCGCCCTTTGAATAGGAAACTTTTGTTTTCAATATTTAGATTGTGCCCTCTCACCCCTGTTCTATTGTGCCCTCTCACCCCTGCTCTCCCAAGGGTTTTAAGGTATTACCTTGAACACTTCTGATCAAGTACCTGTTTCTTACAGTGCTTCAGTCTTTGTTAAACAAGCTAAAGCAAAGCTTCAAGTATAGGGCTGAAAAGCAAATAGAATTATCTTGTGTATCTAATGCGTGTCCCTGTTAATTACTGCCTCATTTGGGACTGTTTTCCTTTTTCTGGGCTGTGCAGAGTTAACCCTGTCCTTTGTTTAATGGTTTGTAGGAAAATGAGCTGTCATGTTTGAAAAGGGAACTGTCCTCCCTTAAGGAACAGCTGAGAGCAGAAATGGAAGAAAAGGTGGAGTTTTTTATTCCCTGAGCAGTGGGGGTGAGAGGTGTGGCCTGGGCTTGTGCTGTGGGAGGAGTTGGGTAAGAAATGAAACTGAACAGAAAAACAGTGACTTTGGAATGCTGGGGTTGTGCTAAATCTGGTCATAGATTTGTGTGAACTTTGTAACAGTCTGTGATTATAGATTACATATAAATAAACAAACAACAAAACAAAACTCTCCTTTATTTTAGTTAATTTTAACTAGCTAAAGCAAAAAAGTTCCCTAAATTGAAGGGGTTTTTCAGTGACTTTTGAATGCTGGGGTTGTACCAAACCTGGTCATATTTTTGTGTGAACTTTGTAGCAGCCTGTGATTATAGACTGTGCTCTGTAATTAGACCAAGAAGATTTTTAACAACTGAATTCAAATCAATATTTCCTTGCTGTCACATAACTCTTTTGTAGGAGAATCTTGTAAAAGAGCACTCTGGCAGTGTGATTCCTGAAAGTGAAAAGAAACACAAGGTAACTTTAACTTTTTAATTGCTTTTAGAATTTGGTAGTATTTATATGTGTAGAATCAATTGAAGTGCCATGATAATTTATTTGCATTCAACAAAAGACAGTAGAATGCTTTAGACTTAAAATTTTAAATTATAGAAAATACAAATTGATGTTCCTGGGACTCCTTAACCTTGTTTAGATCTATGCAGTGAATCTATTCATGTAAAAAATAGAAACTCTCCAAATTATATTCCTGAAAAAAAAAAAAAAAAAAAAAGTCTTCTTCAGTACAGGAAGCCCCTTGGGCAGTCCAGCATTGAAGTTTTGTAACTCCTAACAGTGAATTTTTCTTGTTGCATTTTTCTGCCTGTATTTCTTACTTCTCTGTAGATTTTTTTTTTCCCCCTGGGATAAGAAGGGATTTTAAAGGGTCACACCATTCCATGGAGATATGAGACAGCAGTTTCTGGAAGGGCTCCCAGTGTGTAATTTTTCTTGCTCACTTGTTGATTTTTTTATGTCTCTAGAACTGATTTACTTAGTCTTAAAAGTGTCCATTTGTAAAGGCACTTTTCCTCTATGGAAGAGAAAAAAGCTGATACAGCTGTAAAAATGGTCAAAGTATCAAAGTAGTCCTGACTGCAGAACTGACCCTTCTTCCCTGTCAGGAGTTCACTTGTGGTTTTCACATTGGAACAATGGAATCCAGCACCATTTTGATGTTATCTGTCTAAAAAAGGACTGCACTGGACCATTCAATGCTTCTCAGTTTCACTTCTAGTGAAAAGACTATTTTAAGAAACACCAATCTTGATGTAGCTACCAATCTTTCTTTGAAAGCCTTTTCCTGCAGTTTTGTTTGTTCCCATTTTCTTTGATGTTTGATAGAGTCCAATGTAGTGGCTGCAGTTCAGAATAACCTGGATTTCTGCAGATAAGCATGGAGAACTTAAATACAATGTGCCATGAAACTCAGCTCTTCCATAGCTTCCCCTTCATTCTCCTCATTTGGCAACAAAAATAATATAAAAAATGATATTTCCACCCCACCCCACTTTGTTTGGGTCTTTGCTCCATCTTTGGATGGAAAGATCAGAGTTCCACCATTTCTCTCAGGTGAATTCTTGGACACTCAGACTGTAAACTGGGTCCTGAGTTTGGCTTTAGATTCCACACTTACCCCATAAAATATAATCTAAAAATAGAAACATTTTCTTTCCCAGAAATGTGTTATAAAGACTCCTCCAGTGGATAAAATGCAGAGTGGAAGAAGCACAAACCTGCCTGCAGAGCAGAGCAGCAGGAAAAAGCAGAAAGTGCTTGTGCAGCTGGACACTCAGTCAGACAGCTCTGAGCACACTGACCTCCTGGTAAGAGCCAGAGAACAAATCATGGGCTGAGCAGCTCTTTGTGCTCACTGCTGGAGCTGAGAATGGAAATAAAGAGTTTGGGCTTCCACATTCAAGCCAATATTTATGTATATTTTTAATTTATTGGTTCTTTCTGGAATTGTAATTGTATGTACATAATTAACATTTTTTGTATTGAACTGTTATGCCTCATAATGACAGCTTTTCTTTTTCATAATTTAATATCCTTAGGCAGAAAGAAAAAGTAATTTTAATATAGTGTGACTAAGTAACTTTTAATTTAACTTTCAACTTTTAATCATATAGAGCATAGTCTCGGAAGAAGAAACATTTAAAAATTTGTACAAAGATTATCCACAAGCTTCACAGTTACATTCCACAGCACCAAAAAAGGTATGTTAGCCTTTCCTAAGATTAAACCAAGCAGTTAATCAGATTGTTTACAGAAACGAAAGGATGGCTTTATTTTCCTTCCCAGAGCCCAGCTCCATGCAGTGTGAAATCTCCAGGCTCTGCTCTGAAACTCAAAACCATGAGGAGAATGCGCGAGGCGGGCTGGACTGTGCTCTCCAAAATGGACAGGAAAAGGAAAATTAAAGATGCTGTAAAGCTCTTTGCTTAAAATGCAGAAATGCCCAGTGCTGTGGCATTGCTTGCACGGTTGTTCTTCTCTCAGGGTTAGGAATTTGTTGCTTTTTTCTGTCATACTCAGTGTGTTTAATACTTCAAAATGTTGGGACAAAAATGAGCCAATTTTAAATTTTGAAATAAATAGAACTACATAGAAAGTTGTTTCAAAGCTGTTTCTGGCATTATAAACTCTGGTTTTATAAACTTCTGTTCTTTTACATTTGCTCTGTTTTTCTTAACACATAAATACTTAGTGGAAGAAATGTAGCTGTTAAATGAATGTTCTTTTACCTGAAGTCCTCTTGCTTTTTCCTGCATTTTAATGGCTGTTAGACCTGTCTTTTTAGACTGTTTTGTTTTCAGTATGTTAAAATGGTTTTGAAACTTCTAAAATTTCAGTAGAATTACTTGTATTTAAAAAGATTTCAGCTTCACAAGGAGTAAAATATGCACATTATAAGATTGTGAAAACAATGTTAAGATGCCATTAAATTGTTTATCTGAAATATAAAGTGTGGGACTATTTGTTGTTGCTTTAAATATTTGAACACAGACAGAAATCACCCACCAGCCTTCCTAGGGACCAGCAGAAGTGCAAGGATAGATTAGAACATCTATTTCTGTATTAATCCTTGATTAATCTTTGTCAGGGTCTCTGGCTGGTCAGAGTGACCCCGAGAACAGTTCCAAAGTCTCTTTTCCCAGCCCGGCGCTTGAAGAAGGAGTCGGGGCTCTTCATTTCTCAGTCTCAAGGTTGTTTCATTTATCTTATCTGTAAAAAATTTTCTCCTGCCCTGCCAAGGTGAGCTCAGCAGGACAGTCTGAGGCATTCTGCCTCCCCCAGGGCAGTGTTATGTCTTTATACTACAAACTACGTGTACAATGTTTACAATTGCTTTCCAATACCTATCATCTATGTTAGACAGTGAGCTTCTACTCTAAACCAATCGGTAAGTGCCACCATCACAGCAGAAGAAGAAGGAGAAAGCTGGACACACACAGTTCCCTCCATCTTGCCCCCTGAACCCCCATACCAGAAACCCCAAAATCTACATTTTCACCCCGTAATAGCTTCACTAATACGCTACCTGAACTGTTGTGGCTTGCTGATCTTCATAGAAGGTTGGTAACTTGCTCCATGGGTCATAATCAAAACCACAGGGGCATTCTGGGCTCTGTGCCAGGGTCTCTGAGCCCCATGGCAGGGGTCTGGGCTGCTCAGGACAGCCAGAGGGATGTCCTGGGTCCTGACAAATCTTGGTTTCACAACAATGACAAACCCTGCTTCAGAGCCTAGACATAACAAGAAAACTACAAGTACATCTTAATCCCCGAGCCCCCTGCCCATCGCTGGGGGCTCTGGGGGTTTCTCCCCCTGTCCCAGTGTAGGATTGATGGGGGTAGCACGGTCGGGACGCATGGAGATGAGAGATCTCTGCAGCCAGGTCGTGGAACTTGGGGTTGTGATAAATAGGTATGATTCGTGCTGATAAAAATTGAAACAGTAATCAATATTGATACAGTAATTAATATTTGAGAATAATAAAATAGTTAACAGCTAAAAGTTGTAATGCCAAAGAAGAGAGGGAAAGGAGGGTCTCCACCCACCCCCCCTTCCCAGCAGATGTTCTCAAGGACCACAGGAAAGAAGCTGAAGATACCGTTGCTAAAAATGACCAAGAACCTGGTTGGGTCCAAGAAAATGCTAATTATAAGGGACTTATTGCCTTGATATGCAGATGCAGTGATACGTTAGTCTTGGCTTACATTGTACTGGCTTGGTGCGCATGTGTAACCCAAAGGTGAATTAAAGGACAACGAAGAAGACTACAGAGCCTTCATCAGTGACGACCCCCAAAGACTTGTGTGACCACCAAACCGAGTGGTGGCGCATGCGTGATAAGGGTGGTAATGAGGGCGGAGATAGAGATATGATGAACCGAAAATGGGAGGAGATGGCATTTACACATGGCATATAAGGGGTGACTTTCACTTGGCAAGCTGGTACGTGAAGTGGCAAGGGTCATTGAACTCTGCCCTCCGTACCCCGCAGTTGTTTTTGCTTATGCGCTATTATTTGAACCAAATTATCCCTTATTTATATATTTTCTAAACTATTCAATTAAAATTGCTGCTACCTTAAATATTGTTTGGTTTTTTTTATTATGGATAATTGGGCAAACATAACAGGGTTTATTGCAAAGGGCCTGGGTGCAGGGCCCTGCTGGGAGCTGCAGCCACAGCTGGAGCAGGCCCGAGAGAGGAGAGGGGGAGAGAGGATGAGAGGGTAAGAGAGTAAAAGCGTAAGAGAGTAAAAGGGGTAAGAGCATCAAAGGCAAGAGCTAAGAGACAAGAGGTAAGAGCAAGAGTAAGAGAGGTAAGAGCTAAAACAGCAAAGTTCCCATTACAATATAATAAATCTTCTTCTGTGTTGAATATTCTGATTCTCACTAACCAATCTAGTAGAAGATACAAATCCTACAGCATTTTCATACCACCTATAAGAATCATTACATTACCATACTGTGCTACATTTTAAACCTTAAAAACTCCTCTGTGGACCCCTTCAGTAGGGGCTGCTCTGACCCTGGGACCTGCCTGCAAGCAGAGGGAATTGTTCCATCAAAAGGGGGTTACTTTCAGCGGCCACACCGTTGTTTTCCCGTTGTTCAGTAACTAAGGGATCTCATAGCTTGCTTTCATTTCCATCTCGCTTATAGTTTCCATATTCTCAAAATCTTTTGCCAGACAATCATATTTGTAAGGCTTTCCTGTTTCATCTTCCCCAACACCCCAGAGCCGGCGCTGCTGCGGCTGTGGGACAGAGGGGGTGCGAAAGGGGGATCCGGGCTTGGAGCGGGAGGAAGGGGAGGGAGAGGGGAAGGGGAGGAGCAGGAACAGGAGCAGCACGGAGGGAGCAGCCCGAGGAGGAGCAGCAGCAGGGCAAGGAGCATTGCGGGGTTCCACGGGGAGCCCGCAGCTCGGCTGGGCCCGGCAGCATCGCATTGCCCCGCGTCCCGCAGGTGAGCGCCGAGGGGAAGCGGCAGCTCCGGGAGGGTTTTTGGGGGGGAAGAGGGGGATTCTGCTGGAGTTTGGACCTTGCCGATTCCGGAGTTATGAAAAGTGCGTATTATATGGCTCTATGCAGATATTTACTGTGGGAATCCATAAAATCAGAGGGGTTTGGGAAAGCTGCAAAAGGCAGGCCTCAGAGACAGCAGAACTGTGAGTAGAGCGCAGCCATGAGATAGGTCATCAGAAAAATTGTTTAAACTGTAGAAAAAGCAAGGGCAAATAGAACAATGGCCTGTGTATTAACGCTTGTCTGAATAGCTCTCTAAGCTGCAGAAAGTTTATTTAGCAAGATATTAGGATAGTTGAAGCTTAAGAATGGAGCTCAGTGCGTTATGTTTTAAGGCTTACAAGCAGGTATTGTATTCGAAATAAGCAAGCATTGTTTTAAGCAAAGGTATGTGTGCTTATGGTGTGTGAAAAACGGCAATCACTTGTTTTTAAAATTTTAAAAGTTTAATAGCAATAAAATAGTTCTACAAATAGTAATATAATTAGAGTAATAATAATTTAGACAATTTGAATTAGGACAATACGAGACAACAAATATAAAGAGTTACGGACGTCTGGGTACCTTTTTCTGGGCAGCACGAGCCCGAAAAAGGACCCCCGCTAATGAAGATTAACCCTTAAAAACAATAGCCCATTGCATATTCATACACCTCATAGATGACGCATAAATTCCATTCAAACATTCAAACACAGGATTCTGTGGTTCTGGTCAGTGTCAGCTTCTTCCTCTGAATCCTAACAGCACCTTCGAGGCGGGAAGAAGTTCTTTTCTTCTGATAAGAGAGCAATAAATTCTTTTTCTCTGAAAGATTTAGGTGTCCTGTGGCTGCTATCTCACTGCAAGTCCTTTCTTTAAAAAAGTATCCTACATAGCATTGTTTCTATGTTAACAATTTTTATAACCTAAAACTATATTTAACACGGTACTTAAGAGAATTAATACAGCATTACTTTCTAACGCAACACATATAATATTCATTTTAATATTTGCAAAAAGCCAATCATAAAATACAGGCATTTTCACATTTACCATATGTATTTTGATGTATTGATTAGTAGTGCTGTATTAACAGTTTAATAATAAATGTAGTCTTGTAATTAAAAGGTAACTTTTGTAGTTAAAAGAAGAACTATTTCAGTGAGGTTTTTTTAAAGAAAGGAATGAGGCACTCGCACCAGATAGCAGCCACAGGACACCTGAATCTTTCAGAGAAAAGAATTTATTGCTCTCTTATCAGAAGAAACAAACTTCTTCCCACCTCAAAGGGGCTGTTAGGATTAGAGGGAAGAGGTTGATGATGGCCAGACAGAATCCTGTGTTTGAATGGAATTTATGCATCATGTATGAAGTGCATGAATATGCAATGGGCTATTGTTTTTAAGGGTTAATCCTTTGCTAACGGGTGTCCTTTTTCGTGCTAGTGCTGCCCAGAAAAAGGTACCCAGATGTCCGTAACTCTTTATATTTGTTGTCTCGTATTGTCCTAATTCAAATTGTCCAAATTATTATTACTCTAATTGTATTAGTATTTGTAGAACTATTTTATTACTAATAAACTTTTAAAATTTTAAAAACAAGTGATTGGCATTTTTCACAGGAGTTGAGTCCCAAATATATTTTGGTGTCGCTGAGAGAGGTATTTTTAATTCATTTGATGAGGGGATATTTTTGGATCTCTCAGGAGTGCAAAGGGGAGCAGGGGAAGCGCTGAGTGCCTGGAGTGGAGGGATGCTGGGGAAAGGGGACCCTGGAACACCTGATATAAAATTTCAATGGTCAATCCAAATTTTACTTCTATACCTTTTATTTTAAAGCAAGCAAGCAGCGCTGGGTGGCC